GATAGAAGGAAAATAAGTCAAATTTGATTAAAATGTTTGAATAAATTTGAAAAAACTTTGAGTCTGACGATTCTTTCTTCATAATCTGCAACTAATTGATTAGAAAACACCTACATTTATCAATATTTTGGCCTGGTTCTGTCAGACGGCCGGTGACGGCACCTCAGCCCGTCGACTTCACACATGGCCCTTTGAGCCTAGCCTCCGTCGTAAAACGGACCTCAGGGTAAAGGCCCTGCCTGAACCTGACATTAAAGGCCATTTAAAATCAGGACACTGTCTGATTTGCCACAGCGATGAATGCCTGACCTGGACCAGGTCTTCTGTGAAACACTAAACTCCCCTGAGCAGCAAATGAGCTCTGACTGTTTCTTTTTATTTGATCCTATTTCATTCGGTAGCGTCTCTGCCTCTCTGTCAGGTCCAATTACGTGGCTGTTAAAGGGATCTTTATGTAGATACTCACTGGTCTTAAAGTGTTAACCTGTAAATGCAACTTCAAGTAGGATTAGTAACTCCTCGTGTTTAAGTTTCACACAATTTAAAAGATACTCTTCAGTTTGGAGGCTAACTGCACCACTATACATGATTTGAGACGTAAACAGAGCAGAGTATGTTTGTCTTGATGGGAGCTGAGAGTCCTACAGTAGGTTTAGGTGCTTGTGGCCTCCCACTCATCCCTCTCAGAGAGCACAGGGAGAGGTCATCACCCTCTCCCCAAACAGGAAGCCCCATCTAAAGAGGATCATGTTTCTACATAAGCCAGTGAAGGAGAGGGCAGACGAGCGGCTGGGGACCCGCTCCTGAGCATCACTGGCGACGAGACGCTGCAGACACACGTTCAGGAAAATGCAGAAAACTTCGGTGTGAACATGAGCGATACAGTGCGCCAAGATTCGAAAGTGAGCAAAACCCATGGATCCACAATGAGAAATTATGGGTGAGAGAAGAGAGATGAATTTCTGACTGCCTGCACTGAGTCTCCTGACCTTTGACCCAAGGCTGGAGGGCAAGACGCAGCCAACCACTGCAGTCGCCACCTCAGGATCAGGTGAGGGGCAGACGGCCCAGCGTGGCTCTGTGAAATCAAAGTGTGACTGAGCGTGTGAGCTTCTCAGAATTGTACACAATGTGGTTGGAAGTGATCTGTGTTAGAGTTATAATTAAGACCAGTTGCTTTCTTTAGGCTGGTTTATAATAGCCAGGCAGAAATATTTATTCCTGGCGGCTAGAGAGGATAAAAATAGTGGGAGTCATAGGTGCAGCTCAGCACATCCACAATCCAACAATCGCCCTATGATGCTAATACCCTAGAGGACTACTGTGCCAGACTGTGCTGCAGCAGAGATCAAATACAAGGGCCCTTATGTTGCATTTATTGTCTTCGGGTCTTCCTTAGGAAAAATCCTAATAAATGAGTGAGAGCTTGAGGTAGGTCTGGGTGCTTTTGTAGACTCTTTGTATTTTTCCCCCGGGTCAGAGAGGAGAGGGCTTTAACAGCGATCTAAAAAACGTAGGGGAGAGCCGTGGAGCATATATAATTGCTTTCATATGCCGTATTATTGGTTGATTTAAATAACCACAGACACCAGGGGCACTGGGGGGCATCGCCTTTAACCTCCGCATGGCCCCGGCCAAGACTGACTGGCTGGCTCGCTGGGTCACACCAGTCGATCGGCGCCCCCGACACTTTGAGCACAGAGCACAAGAAAAATGTATTTGTCAGCTAGTTGTCACTCTGACATTTCCTTGGAGAGCTGCAATTTGCATTTTTGGGCTCTTCACGAAGGGATAAGCATGTGTCTCCAGCTGGAAAAAGGAGAAGTTGTGGTGTTATGATGACATGGCTGATACAAAGTCTGGAAACGAGGAAAAGCTGCCTCGGGCCAACCAAGGTCTTGAACGCACCCACAACCTGCTCTGCTCAGGGTAATAGGATGTACATTTACATCTTAAGTGCTTTGGTGAAAGATGGAAGTGTATACAATTACACTGATTGATTTACAATGGAAGTACGACGACCTAAACAAAAAAACGCAACGAGGCATGCAGGTTAAGCTTTCATACATACAGTTAAAGTTGAAATAGGGTATGTCCTACCGGTTAGATCTCTCTTCAGCTTCCTGAGGTCCTTGGTAATGTCTTCTAATTTAACCTGAGCAGCCTGGAAGAAATCCTGAGGCTCCAACAGAGGGAACACACTCTTGTCTGTGCCGGCGTCCTGAAAAAACAATGCAGTTATAACACTGAGGAGCACTGAGAGGTTTTAAGAGTTTATAGTTTTATTCTTTTTGTTTGACAGCACCTTACCTTGTCAAAGTTGCGTAGGTAGTATAAAACCACATAATCCACCAGATTCATACGGTTGTCCTGAGGAACAAATGAGCAATGATTAAGACACACTTTCTGTTTATTCTGCATATATTTACTGGAAATTATGGTAGTTCGGTAACATTTTAATCATAAATTTATAAGAGGTGTTACTCTGCTCTTGACGTCCTTTAGTTTGGGGAGGATCTCTAGTCCAAAGCCATCAGCCTGACCTCTCGTCCTGTTCCCTCCATTCATATAGTTCCCAAAGGCCAGAACAAGACCTATGATATCCCGCAGACTGTTGCACTCTAGCAGCTCCTGACACAGAGACACACACAGTCTTTGGGTTACTAAACCTTCATGTAAGTTAATGACATTACTCAATTGGTCTGCTGACGTGGTGTTCTTACTTTGCTGACATTGGAGAGGATCTCCACCTTGCGATGGATGGAGGCGATGGTATCGAGGAACACTGACTGGAAGATTATGCAGTGGGCCCGGCCAGCAAAGTCAGGAATCTGGGAGAGCTCGTAGAGAAACCTGGAAAACAAAAAGGGGAGGAGGAGGAGGCCGGGGCGTGATGTGTCATGACAGAATTAAACAAAACGTCTAACAGGAAGAACTATTTTGGGGCCTTGGCAGGCTGAGCTTCCCAACGATGGGCTGACTGAGTCAAAGTCTGCATTCACAGGCAGTGAGAGGCAGCTGATAGTCATGAGCGGTGCTGCTCGGCTGAGTTTGAAAGGTCCACAGGGTTGGGTGGAGGGAAAGCAGCGAGCGGCGCACAGAGACTGATCAAAGGTAGCTCTGTCCTGATGCAGGACGACTTATGTAAACAGTGCCGTGTCGGAGGGGAGCGGAGCGGTAACATCCTGTGTGATTAGACACTGAGTAGGGATGACTCAGGCAGCCGTAGTGACAGCTCTGGTCAAACATGGAAATAGGAAGGCCAGGCTGAGCGGCACCGCTGGGTCCAGGCCTCGTTAACTGGCCCGAACTACTTGACCCTAACAGGAACTACTGAACTACTGAAGCAATGTTCATTAAAGCATATGTCTGCACAGTGGTAGAAAATGTTTTTGAGGGGATAGCAAATGGTACCTCAACGTGTCAATGTTTGGCTTTTTTTTTACATGTGCATATTGAAAAAGAGAAATATTTGTTTGACAAATAATTATTTAATCAAATGTTTCTTTATAGCACAAACATGACCAAAGATCTTAAGTAATTTAGACCTTGAAGAAATTAACAAATGTTTATATCACTTTGTGCCATGATGTCATCTTTGAAATCTGAGAAACATATGTTTATCAATTTATTCAACTAAGTTCATTGTTGCAAGTTCATGCACATCAGCACTAAACAAAGACAGCACTAAACTCAATTCCTGAACTCACTGTAATTTCTCTAAAATACAATAAAGATTATGCACAAAATAAATGTTGGAGCTGTTGGTGAAAGGGATCTTACTGTTCAGGTTTGTCCAACAGTTTGACTTCATCTTCTTTTGACTTTTCATAATGTCTCATTATCTTCTCCATCTCATCACTGGTGGCCCTCTGTCAAGAGACACAAAACATGCTCCACAATTAAAGTGTGTGGACAGACACAGATAAATATGTTCACGCAGTAAAAACCTGAACAAAATGCTCAATAAAATGCATTTGCCACGATAATAAGCCACATACTTTACTTTGTATTAGGCACAAAATAATTTTCATCCCATCGTCATCCTCCTTACGACTGTATGATATTTTACTTTTCCTCCATACTTACATTTTCATATAATGCTTCAATGGTCTCCAAATCCACCACCGAGTGGTCCACAGTGAGAACAGCTGGAACAGTAAGGATATTCATTATAAACAGTCAGTCTTAGAACTGGATATAATCTTGGCCAAAGCATGCTGCCTTTTAAGTGCTGCCAGTGCTTGAAGGACAAATTTGTTTTCCTGATGAGGGAAGTAAACATATGATAATATTCATGCAATTGTATTGATTATTGCTTAACAGAACATTATATTTGAAGTCAACTGTACCACAACATACTTTATGTTGCAGCAGAATGAAAAAGTACCGACCACACCAAAAAATAAGAGCAACTTGAGCAAAACCATGTGTCCATTCACATCTACATTGCACCACACCACATCATCAATTACCAAGAATTATACAGCTAATGTAGTACATTAGCTTGAGGTGGTAGAGCTGAAAGTGTAGCCAGGCTGTCGGGGTAGAGATATTTGGGGCAAGCTGAGTCTCAGACCACATTACATTACTTTTCATTTAGCTGACGCTTTTATCCAAAGCGACTTACAATAACTGTAGGCCGACACTCACTTCCTTCCCTCCTTCCTTCCGGTGGCTCAAAACATAAAACCTTAAAAATACTTTCTGGGACCATGTCACCAAAGCCGAATGTAATGATTTTTAAAGAGAGGCAGAAAAAGGTGCGCGGAGCGAGAAACAGCAGCAAATAAGAAGAGGAAATAGAGGAGAAGAGAGTAAATAAATACTGGCTGAGATGTTTAACTTGACTCAAATAGTTATATCCAGAATACCCAGGGAAGGCAAAAAGCAGAGGACGGCAAGAAAAGAAAAAAGAAAGTGACTCCTGGTCTGTGTCTGAGAGGTGTCACAGGTTTACAGCTTAGTGAGGGAGGAGGGGAGGAGGACGTGATAGGAGGGATGGCTCCAGTCCTCCTGGATCAGCTGACAGTTGCCTGGCTGATGGTGTCCACAGAGGATTTCATTACCAAGAACTGACGCATGTGACAATTTACCACCTAGTAACTCTATATCAAACGTGTATACTGTCTTAGTATGGAGTTGTGATCATATTGTGGTTTTAAGAAACCAACACCAAGCATTATAGTAGCATATAGCAGGGCTGCTGTATTAGACTGTGTTAAATGTAGCAGGGTGATATATTTTAAGTCTATATTAAGGTATATTTGTGTTGAGCTGAGAAAGTTTGCAATTTTTGCCTGTGAAACTTTTAATTGTTAAAGTGAAGAATACGTTATTGATTTTGTTCTTGCTTTTTTCATTCTCATTTCATGTTGGACTAAATACAAATTAAATCATGATCTGGCTGTTGAACTGATTTCCCTGACGCTTAGTGGAGGGAGGGGTGCATGACCCAAGAATAAACATATTACATTTTGGAGCAGATCCAGATAAATGTGCAGATCTCAGAATTTTGTTTTACTGTCTTTAACATTGCGGGTTAGCCTGGGTTGAGATATGTGCTCTCCCTAAGCACCCTTCTGGTTGGTTTATTCTTTAGCAGGATAACACAAAAACTACCAAACTGATTTCTACCACACTTGTTGAAGGGATGGGGCCTGGTAAGAAATAAAGAAGAATACAGTTTTGGTGCAGATGAGTATTAAGGGGCAAAACAAGGAGTTTTTTCCCCTCCACATTTTAAACTATGTTATACAGCAAATAAATCTCAGAGCTAGTGTTCTGGATTTTTTGGTCTTGCTGGAAATATACGCTACACTCCATGCCATAGTTCATTCTTTTTTTATGTTGAATCAAGAACTCATAATTGTGTTTATTTTATTTTATTCTACTTTTTGGTATTGGTACTCACAAAGGTAAATGGAACAGCTCTAGCGACAACACAGTCCTTTCAGTCTCACTGCTCCCAGCTAACAAGGTAATGCTTTGCATTCTGGTTCCCAGCTGTTCCTGTTGCAGAGAAGCTGTCAATGTGCTCCCAACGTCTGGATCAGAGAGAACGCTGGAGGTCCATTTCCTACATCTTATTAGAGTGGATTATTCAGTCCCTCAGCCATGCAGCCGTCAATCACACACCAAAGGGGGGCCAGCTCCAGTGTGCACAGGAGCACTCTGATCCGAGGGGAGCCGGATATCTCTCCACACCAACAGATCAAAGCCAGACTGCCAACTGCCTCACACCCTCTCCTTCCACTTTTCACTCATCGGCTTTGGTGTGGAAGGGTGTGTGTGGTGTGTGAACATGTGTATGTGTGTGTTTGTGTGCGTGTGGTGAGGTGGTGTGTGTGGGGGGGGGTCTCTCTTTGCCCTTGAACCATGGTGGCCCTTGAGGTCCCTCAGTCGATCCGGCGGGTGCAGTTGACCCCCTCTCTCCCTTAACCAGTGTTGCCTTCTCCACTCCCCTCCTCCCCGCTCTCTCTCCCTCCCTAGTAGCTCTAATTACATTACATGTCCCATGTCCTTTTAATTTGGCAACAAAGGGGAGGCAAGCAGGAGAGGCAAGGGACTAGAACCCTTAGAAGTGCTTGTTAAGGTGCTGTCCTTCATTGTCAAATCCAAGTTGTCCATTTCCCATTCACCTCCCATTAAGGCACAAGGAAGCAGCCTCACGCTGGGTGTGATCAGGCCTTTTTAACCAAACCACCTCTACAAACTGACACTTACACACAGAGGGAAGGATTGAAAGGAAAGGGGGGGGGGAGTCTAAACAAAACGGGTGTCCTGGTGCTGTGTGCCGTTTGGCCTGTGTTTGAGTTGGTTTTATGTGGTAGGGCAGTGTCTGCTAACTGCAGAAGGTGGTTTTGTACATGCTTAGATCATTAGTGGGGTGTCAGTCCCATTAGGCTTGTGGAAACCGTCACTTGCTACAATAAACAGATCTGCTGGCCGCATGCTCAGACTAGCAGGCGGCAGGCACTCTCCGCCGCAGTCCCAGCACAGGAGCAATTCCTGGCCCATCTACGCCGTCCCCAACACACGTATTATGTGTTTACACAGACATGCAGCCACTCCGACAGTCACGCACACACACGCCTGCATTTCACACGGAACTACCAAGCATGCAATCAATCCATGCAGTTCTTCACGTGAAGAAGATGGTGATCTGATTTGAACCAGTGCCTGAGGGACTTCATGCACCCTGACAGAAAAAGTGAAAGGCTGCTTTCAACCTGCGCACATTTCAAATCAAGGCTTGCTCTTTCCCACTTTGGTAACAAGAAAAATCTGCCTTGTTCTACTTAAAACATTCATTAATAATACAATTTTAAAAAGGGTATCTGGCTGCAAATTAGTGGCTATCAGCTGGAAAAAGAAAAAAAGTCGTCACTCCGTACCATCTTTTCTCTAAAACTGTCTGCTCTTTATCAAGAGAAATCATCAATTTATTGTGAAGTAGGCTGTAAAATCTAATTAGCTCCTTCTCAAATTCCTTCCTTGAAAGAGACAAAAATGATGACGATACCATAGTGTACACAAGCATCTAAAAAAGGTTCACCTTGCTGAATGTCCTTCATCTCCAGATGCAGGCTGGATAGGAGGATGCCAACTGCTTGTGAACGCTTCCCGTCCAACAGCTTGATAATCTGAAAAACAGAAAACAAATTGATTCATACTAGAAAGCAGTAAATGTATTAATGAAATCTAAAAACTGCATCTACTCTAGTTTGTAAGATTAAACCTGACCTGAATTACGTAATTTTTAAAAATGTTTATACATTTTTCTAAGTTTTAATAAAGTTATTTTAAACATTATTTCTGATCAAATTTCAATAAACGTTGTTGATTACTTTACAAACCTTCTGCAAACGGCTTCATATAAATTGCTTTCTCATTATTCTTCATACCTTCATTTAACATCTATTCAATTTTTCACAATCACTGACGCAAAACAAATACAAAAACAGATAAAAAGATCATTTATGAAATGTGAAGCTGGGAAAAAAAATCACTTAGTCACTTCCCCAGCTGTGGAAGCAGATGATCGATGATGAGCCCGACAGACCGCCTGGAGGGACGGTTAGTCTAAGAAGGCTGGGAATCATCTAGTTTGACCCAAGTGACCAGACTAATCAACAAACGTTGTCATAACCCATCATCGTGACGCAAAGGACTGGGAAACACACACATACACACACATAGCGGGGACACACTTTGCCAAATTCCATCAATGAGGGAGCAAAGTCAAACAGAAACGCACCTCCTCTCGTTTGCCGAAGAACATGTGTGAGATATAATCAAAAAATATCAAGTCGCAGTGAAAGTACAAAGGCAAAAGTGGCACCATAAAAGGACAGTCTCGAAGAGCAAGGCGAGGAGAAGCCGGGCTTTTATAACAAACTATAAATTCACAGGATTTTTATTTCTGCCTACACATGGTCACAATTACTTATGACTGAATTAGCTGTAAAGCCAGAGAGAGTTTTGGCAAGGTAAAGCCCTGCTCTAAAAGTTAATGTGTCAGGCTTCTTCATTAGGTATTATGGCGTTGTCGGCTACTGGGCTGTCCAGTGGGAGCTGGAGAGCAGAAGCCTTAGAAGTGGGTATTGCATTACAGCGCGTTAGTGGGTGCCATGCTGCTTCCAGCTCTATTACCTGGATTGCTGGGGATCTCCCACTCTGGGGACTTGAGACGGCTGCAGCACCAGGCTTTCCCCAACACCTCTAATTAACTATTTTGGATGGGCCACAGTAAAAGCAGCCCAGGAACCATTGCTGCTCACTGTGGCTGCAGAACTCGCCAATTAGCCTAAACAGTTAAGTTAATGTGAAAGGACAACTGATGCCGGACGCTTGCTTTCAGCCATGCAAACAGTTCAGGTAAAGAAAGGGATGCTGATGCTGAGACAGGTTGGACATCGATAGCTGATGGCTCTCTCCTGTGGACAGAACGAGAACTGGAGGACTTCATGTGATACTCTTGACTAACAGGTCAGGAGAAAGAGAAGAAGAGACCGCGAGCAGCCTAAGAAAATAAACAGAATGATGAGGGCGGACAGTGGGAGTGTTTTGAGCTGAGACAGGTGGCTGATGTTAAGATGTGGGCAGGCCGACGCAGGTTTGGAGCCCAGCGGATAGTTTACACAGCCACAGCTGAGTAGCCAGCCCCGCTCCTCACTGACTGCCTGTTTGACTATCTGTCTACAGACAGATGTTACGCTAACAACTGGACTGAGACTTCCCATCAATATCCACCTACAGCAACCCCAGTCTCACCCAGCAGTGTTAATCTTACACCCACTCGCCCACGTCACAGCCAAGGCTTCAAATATGCCTTTAATAAACGCAGAGCAATTGCTTGTAAGTCATTCCCATAAACAGGTTAAAGCTGCTGTTTGTTTAAGGAGATCTGCTGTGTCTTAACTTGGTACAAGTTTAATTTATATGGGTAAAGGAAATTGACGTTTTTGTGTTTACTGATGTGCATTTTTTGCACACGTGCAAGCTCAACAGCACATTTACCTTGACGGATTTCTTGATCCCCATTGCCCTCCCTGCTCATCCCTTGATCAAGAATGCACTGACATGCCCATTCTCTGCACCCCCTCCACCAGCACTCCTATAGGTGCTGTCTTCACTTCCTCCTCTAGCCAGTGGAGTGGAGCCACATGCCTGCAATTATACCCCTAGTCCTGTCCGGTCCTTTCTGTTCTGGTCTGCTGAGGCGGGAGGGCTCTCTTCCATGTCCTCTCCTCTGCTTTGATATGCTAATCAGCAGAGGGAGAAGGACTCCAGTGTAAACAAGAACTTTGATTTTTTTCGCTATGGCACACATGATAAAGATTAACTCGCTCATGTACATATCGGCTGCATCCCCCGAGTTGAAACTTTTTGGCGTGAGGAGTTGTTGGAAAGCGGGGAGGTGGCTCATATGCATAATGTACACACATTCCTTTCCCTCCCACTCAGCCCCTGGGGCTGTGGTGTTAGCATGATCTGGCAACACTTTCTGAGCAAGTGCATAATGACTTCTGAGGATGTGCTGTCATCACACACGTGCACTGCACCACACATATAAACACACACACACGACAGAAACATACACATGCCTATGCATACACAAATACACAAAAAGTACAACTGAAACACACTCTCCACACGGATCAAAACACAGAATCGCTGGCAAGATGACACTATAAGTAAATTCTGTTCAGATGTGGAGTCTGTGCTGACACAGGCAGCAGGGCAGGTAGGCTGTGTGATAGCTCACAGGTAGCAATCCTCATGCACATAGAGTACATTACGAAATGCAAAGAGTAAGACAGATTGATTAAAGAACCCACTAGTACTGACAAAGTGATTCATCACCAAGCGAAATACCTTTTTATCCAAAAAGATGTTCTTAGTAAATTATTTGGAAAAAATCTTATCATTCGTATTTTAAGTTCATTAACTCCATAAACGTGGATAATTGTTGTTTGTTTGTATTTTATTCTATTTTATTTCATATAGATATGGACCTTTGTGTTAACATTAGAGGACATTCTATAAAATATTAATAGATTATTCAAATAAACAAACTCATGTATCAGATGATTTATTTTCCTATGTAAATGTGTAAATAAGGAGAAAACTGTTTGGCAATAGGAATAAAAAAAGAAAAGCAGAAGAACATCTGGGAATGTTTCCAACTGGAATAATAAGAAAGAATATAGCTGCACATTGACAAGTGTATTCAAAAAAAGATGAAAAGAAAATCTAAATCAGTGTCAATGTCAAAGTCGATGTCTTTATTCTTTTGTACTTCAGAGAAACGCAAAGAAAGTGGTGTGAGAACATGTGTCTGAAAGTATAAAAAAAAAAAAATCTGAAATACACATGGTCCAGATGATGTAATATTCATGACCAGTGCATTGCTGAGCAATCTTTCCGAATATGACTCAGCAGTTGTGTGAATGTCCATCCCCGTCCATTTTTTTTAACTTTAAAACAAAAGTATGATAAATAGTTTATATTCTGAAGCTTGCAAATTGGTTATGGGTTACAAATTAAACTTCCAATTAATTAGATCTCTGTTGATGTCTATGCCTCCTCAACTCAGTAGTAACTGTCGTCAGACCCACTCTTTTTGCTCCCCACTTCATCAGCTGTCAATCAAGATGCTTCACCCAAATTTTATAATGTCAAAAAATATATTAAAACCCAAAGTGAAAGAAAATGTTTCACTTGAACAAATATCAGTGTGATAAGAAATAACTAAAGTGACAAAAAAGAAAATAATTTATTATTTTATTTATTGGATGTGTTTTTTCAATTTTTAGTTTGGTCAATGTCCCAGTGACTAACAAGGAGGAGTCAGGGTTTATGACCTATACTGCAGCCAGCCACCAGGGGACAATCAATATGTCTGTCTGTCTTTCTTTCTTTCTTTCTATCTTTCTCTCCATCTTACTTTCTTCTTTCTCACCTTCTAACCAGCTGAACATCTCATCAGCTGGTGACTCAGAAGATTTCTCTCTCAAATTATTTCTCCCTCTTAACTCTGAGTATAAACATTCACAGATAAAAAATGATCACGTAAACAACTTTCTTATATTTTTGGCAACCTTTTTAGTTGGAATTCTTCTGCTTTCACGTACGTCTAAACATAGATATAAACTTCAGCCAGAGTACAATACAGGTACTTCTCTCATAAAAAAACACCAAATGATATGTTGGGCACGGATATTTCTTTTGAATGCTATAGTTTTTGGATTTGTTTCAGCAGTGCTCCATTAGTGGGGTCAAACATCTTGCAGGCTGACGTAATCCCAGACAGGAGACAGTTGGCAGGATTTGTGTCTGGATGTGGCTGTCTGACTTGGATCAAATGTTGGACAGTTTGCTGCTTTAGAGTGACCAGACTGAACTGAGAGATGTAAGGATGGAGATCAAGGAGCTGAGTGGAGCCTTGACAAATTGATCAGAATAGGGGATGTGTATGGATTTTGAGGGGACAGACTGGGGCAGTGGCCGATTTTTAACTCCTTGGACGTCCCTGTGAGGACCACCAGGCAGCCAGGATGCTGACTCGGGGCTGGCAGCGGCATGGAAGTGCAGAGTTGCAACATTTGACAAGACATCAACAACTGTCTTTGGTGGGTCGAGGTACTGGAGATCAATCTGGCTGAAACCACATCTTTGCTGATTTTTATTGTTTCATCTTGCGCACAACTTTGAAGCTTGTCCAGAAGAAAAAAAAATTTTTTTCACCATAATTCTGCAGCCATTTCTACATTACAACTCTACGCAGTTTGCCAGGTGGAAAAAAATAAAGTGCACAAACACATAAAATAGTACTCTGTGGTCAGGTCCAGTGGAATACAACTGCAATTGCACAGTTATTTATGTATTTCTATTATTACTGAACATGACAGCAGAAAAATGCATTTTATCCATTATCTACACTGCTTATCCTTCAGGGATTCTAGAGCTGACATAGGGCTAGAGGCAGGGTACATCCTGGACAGGTCGTCAACATATTGCCAATATATGTAAATACCCAAACACTTACAATCACACCCACAGACAATTTCAATGTCTCCAATAAACCTTAGCTGCATGATAAGATTCCTGGAGAAAACACACACAGACAAAGTGAGAACATGCAGACTCCACACAGAAAGAACCAAACCTTTCTTGCTGTGAGGCGACAGTGCTATTCAGTGCACCACCCCAACCTTTTTCAAACAAAAAGGAAAAAGAAAACATGCTACCAAGGCGGCTGTAGCAAGAGACAAATCACTCAACCGACAACATCTAAAAAAAACTGATGAAAATCCAAAGAAAAACCAAGACTATAGGAGGACCTCACACAGGCTGAGGAGGAGCAGTGAGGGAACTGAATTTACCTTCTTAGCTTTGGTCTTCTTTTCGTAGCTGTCTGACAGCGGTTTCTTCTTCACCTGTAGTGTGGCCTTTGAGAAAAGATCCTCAAACTCATTGGCGTTGACGATGTTTGGTTCCTCCAGAGAGCCCCACAGTGTGTTGTTGCTAGAAAAGGAAGCAAAGATTTAGGCCTGTGTTGTATTTATTATATTTTGAATTAAATCAGTGCTTTAAAAATAAAAATGTGATCACAGTCACAACAACAGTCTTATGACCTCACAACGCAAGCTAGAAACATCTTGGCTAGTCGAAGCTAAACAAATTGTGTGTTCTTTTTGTGGCGCGATTATTTGATGTTTATTCAACCTCTCCCGTTGTTTGCCATTTTCCATTTCCCTGTCCCAGCCAATGCTTGGCAGGAATGGCTGCAAAATCTTAGGTTGAAAAAAAGCACTGTTTATGAGCTAGGTGATAAAAATAACAAAAGATTAAGACAAGGTTGTTTCTGCAATAAAAAGGACCATTTCCAGCAAAAGGAACAAGAATACGGGAGGGGATGTCGTGTTCCAGAAGTTGCTGAGTAACATTGGACAAAACAAACAGAGAGGAGCAGAAATATGAACAAGAGGTGTCTAGAGTCAAGAGAATGTTTAGGAGTTATGCACCAACTTTTTTTGTTCACTGAAACTCAACACATGTGTCCCTGCTTTCCCAAAGTCTGTTAATAAGAATATCTGCAGACACAATAAACAGCCTACTAACAAAAAAGAAACTTATTGTAAAGAAAGACTGGTATGATGACATCTATAATACTCCACAGATGCCTAATTACTGGTTTAGCCTTTCCTTTGCTATCCTCTCTTACACAGCGCTTCTCAACGCAGCTCATAATTTAATGACATTACTCAGGTCAATCTCCCTGAGTCAAAGCCCATTTAAAGTCAGTGAGAAAGCGACTCTGGACCCATCGCACTAACACAAATGCTGGCAGGGCTGAAATATCAGCACAATCAACTGCATTTCCAGTGACTCAGTTGGGGTCAATTAAGTCCAACTCTTCCTAGCATGCAGCTGGTCTCTTGTTGCAGCGGTGAGAGTATTTATCTGGGAACGCCAAGATATTTTCTGTTGAGGACATAATGGTGCTGTCCCGAAAATACTCCTTTGATTCTTCCTTTCGCTGGCCTCCGCCTCTGAACCCGACAGTGCAGGAAACTAGCTCGGAAAAGAAAATTACATCCAAACCCCAAGAAATCTTTCCATACAAGACAACTTTCTAATTGACCAGATTATGACTATAATTGAATTTAAATCCGCTCTTAAACTCCCCTCCTTTTTTAATGCAGCTTCCCAAGAAAGTCTGTCCCTCTTGCTGCCTACTGTTACTTTGCGTGTCAGCTAACATTTTGACACCAGGCATCTTTTCAAACCTCCCACTGTCCCCCTCCTCATAACGCAAAACATTACACCATTAACAGAGATCACACAGTTAATCCAGCTATAGTTAAACATCTGATCCATTTAATGCCCCTTAACTTGGCCCTTTACAGTTAAATTTATAGCTGACATGAAACCACTGTAATGCAGTCAACTCAGTCCCCCCCAGAACTGGCCAGGACCAGTGAGAGAGTGGGAACCACAGCTCAGTTTCCCCCTATAACCCAGCCATGGAAATACAAGGCCATAAAACTGGAAGCCTGGCACTGTGCAGGCAACAACCACAGCCACTGTAAATGGGCTGGATAATCCACTCACAATTTCAGAGTATCCCTCTGATGTGGAAGTGTGGTGCAGCAACCATATCTCTGATATCTCTCTCAACAAACATGTTCAGGTCTAAACCTAGACCCCATTAGTCCAGGTTCACTGAAGCTTAGAACTTCATCAGCCCTGGGATCAAAGCAGTGTCACTCATATCAATATTCAACATGTGCATATTGCCCAAGGCTCTCTGAATTCCAAAGTGCAGTAATCCCCCAAAACAACAGGCATTAAAACATTGGAAAACTAGGAAGATGGTCAATAACTCCTTTCACTTTCTAATTAGATTGGTTGAGCTGGTGTTTGAATAAAGCCTGTATGATGGGGAAACTGTTCTTGTTTTTCCAGTCTGACTTCTGAGTAATATTTCTGCAAAACTAAGAAAACTAAAAGCGTAAACAGAGAGTGCATACCTCAATCAAGGTTAATTGGCCATTTCATCACTATATTGCATACTCATGCATTGAAATCAGATATGTCCGGATCATTATCTGGATCCAAACCAATCCTCTCCTTTTCACAGGTATTAGCACATTTTACAAGCCTGATTTTTTTCCATCAAGATCTTTCATCAGAGATTCCACTACCAAGGAGTTTCTTGGCTTGTGTTTCTTTATCTGTTTGTTAGTTAACAGAATTACACAAAACAACTTGTGAAACAAATGCGAAAATAATTCCTGGATCTGCCCCAAAACTTTAGGGGTTCTTCCCTGAGCCACACTGCCTCCTTCCCACAAGCAGTAATCCTGCTAACTAACAAATTAACGCAGAAGAAAACATAACCATTTTGGCGGAGGTAAGGAAATCAAGCAGTTACACATACTTATTATCCTGTATCTGTATCCTGTTCCAGTACAGAGGCTTCATGGGACAGGCCGGCTCGATGGCAGGCTTCCGCGGGGCCTTGTCCACTTTTGGGGCAAAACCGCCCATGGGAGGAGGAGGTGGAGGGCCAGAGCCTGGAGGAGGTGGAGGGGGAGGTGGGCCAGATCCAGGTAAGCCAGGGGGGGGAGGCGGAGGAGGTGGGGGGGGTGGGCCACCTCCTGGGAGAGGAGGTGGCGGAGGGGGTGGTGGTGGAGCTCCCGCCATGCCTGGTAAAGGTGGTGGAGGAGGTGGTGATGGTCCTGAGAGGCCTGGTGGGAGGGGCGGAGGAGGTGGAGGCGGTGGTGGTCCTGAGAGGCCTGGTGGGAGGGG